ACCGCAGGTCTATTTCGGTAGACCGGAAGTGGCAGCCATCTTGAAAATATTTTAGATTGAAAGTTCCGAATGAACAACCCATGCTACCAAAATTTCAAAATTGTACGAATAGTGGAACCTGAAAAAGTTCTAACGAACCAGATATGTGAGACACTCTGTAGTTAAAGATTTATTTATAGAAACCTTACATCGAAGTAAACTATATAACCAATTTAGTTTAAACAATTTTGTATTTAGCTATCCTTCACGATTTAATAGCGTTGTATAAAATTTTGTATTTATCCAATTCTAAGGACCTAAATTATATGAAAAAAATAGAATGTGGCCTCAAGTAAATTAGTACTTCCGGTTGACATATTTGATCCAAAAGTTCACAAAGTCTTTAGCATATAATCCACATACCAAGTTTCAAAAAATTATCTCGACCCAAACTGCGTTAAAATATTTTTGTTCGGGTTTTTTCGAATTTAGTCCACTGTGTGCCGGTCTAAACTCGTTTCTCACGTGTTTATTTCTCTTTCTGTGAATCACTATTGCGACTTTAAACTTTAAACAGTTCCCTTGCGGTTATTATAAACATTTCGAAAAATTTCAGAATGATACGGAAGATACGGGACACCTGTATATTGATAAAATTAATTTACATGCGGATTTAGTGTAAGAATCTTTTTTTGGGTTATAAATTTCGCATTCGGGGTGAATTGCAAATAAAGAACCCCCACCTAAAAGAGATTGAAAGAAGAAAATTTAGACGAGTTTTTGAACCAGTTTGTATTTGACATCAAAGATGTGCGTTAAAGTGCTTGTGGCAATTTTCATATTAATTTTTGGGGCGATTTCGGGTGTTTTAATTTACTTAAATTACCCGAAAATAATGAGGTTTTTTATGGATGTTTTTTTGGACGAAAAGAACGACGCTAAAAGTTAAAATAAAAAATTACCGATTGCGAAAAGGTAAGGTTGAGTCCCTTTTGGTTTTCTTTCTAACGTTCTGGGTGTTGTTAGGGCGCATCTTCGTTCAGGGGCTAAATGGTACCTCATCGCCTCAAGAAGAAGTTCTCGGCAAGCTCCGTTTTCCCGCACCAATCTTTCGTTATCAACCCGAGTCATCAAAAATTCTCTATTAACCAACGGAAGTCGAACATGTTGCATCAACTAGAATATACTTTATTAATTTTATTTAATTAAATAAATAATAAAAATTTGTTACCTTCGAAATAAATTCGTTTCGCTTCGTTAAATCATGTTTAACCCAATTTAAAACGGCCGTAAAAACATCTTCCTCCGAAGAAATGTTTAATTGGCTATTCGAGATTAACTCCTCAACCTAAAAATTAATACTTCAATATTAACACAAAAATTTAATAAATTTTTAACCTCATTAAACGGTAATAACAAGAATTCTTCGGTGTTAACAACTTCTTGGAAATTTTGTAACGCAAAAAAATGCGATTTTATATGCAACTCTTTGCAAGAATGCGTATCGGCGAAACTTCGTATCCCCAAACAATTAGTTGGGTGAAGTTGTTTCATTAAAAACCGACAACACGCTTCTCTAACTTCTTCCATTTGAAGTAAAGAGCTCGCCGGTAAAAGAACTTGGACGTTATCGGCGGTGATCGTAATTTGACCGGTGTAAGCGTAATCGATGAGTAATTGGACGGCTGTCGCATCGATTTCGTGTAAAATGATCTCGTTTGTTTCATGTTCTTTCATTTCGCCTTAGAAAAGGGGAATGTAGTAATTAAATGAAAGCTTTTTGGAGTACTCACCGTTGAACATGGCAAAAAAATATGGACTTATCGAAGCTAAAACGACCCTATGGGCTGTAAAAATTTCCACACCAACTAATAAAACTACGTCTGTTAACTAAAATTTAATTAAAAAAATTTTATTAAGTCTATTTTTATTGATTAATAATTAAATTTTATATTTATGGATGTGACTTATGGATGGAGGGATAGAGGGGGAAAAAATACATTACTCTGAAGTTGTATTTTATGTATAATAGCTATTATATTTTAAAAATTGTATACTTAAGAAACAATGTTGAGATGGGATCCTTTTATGTTTAATAATTATGTTAAACATGTTTTTCTTGTTGGCTGGATTATATTTCTTATTTAAAATAAGCCGATAGACGGTTGTGTGTTAGCATTTTTGAGATTATGTCATTAATCATTGATTGAATTAAATTTTTTATTATTTTCCTTTTTATTATGATCCTTCAAGAAATTAATTTAATACCGAATTTTGAAAGTTATGTAATATCGAAAATTTTATCAAAACTTCAAATATTGTTTTCTCAAAAACTAAAAGTTATTTTTCAAAACGGGTTGATTCATTGGAAAGAAGACACTTTTATTAACACTTTGGAAAATTTTCATACTCATATTCCAAGAACTTGACTTTATACGAATTTTTAAACCTTAATCGGCGAAAATTGCTAAATTTCAAAAAAATTATCAATCATTTCAAAAATTTGTTTCTCAAAAGCTGAAAGTGATTTTTCAAAACGGCTTTTTGCATTAAATAGAGGATACTTTAATTAACAATTGGTAATATTTCCACAAGGATCCTTCAAAAAATTAATTTAAGCGGTTGGTTCATTGGAAAGAGGACACTTTTATTAACACTTTGGGAAATTTTCATACTCATATTCCAAGAACTGGATTTTATACGAATTTTTAAAAC